GTACATCATAAACTGAAGTTCATATGACTCTTGTTTACTTTTAAACCAGTGTCAAACATTTTGTATATTGATTTTATAAGGCAATCTTTCAGGGTCTCACTATCCATAACAATGACATTCCTAGCTTAAATTATTTCACGGAGATTGCCCTTACTTGGGTCTGTAACCTCAGTCCAGCTGGGAGACCCTGGGGAGGCCCCCAAAATTTCCCTTTTCTCTTGAACAAAAAAAAAGGCATTTTGTTACTTGCACCTTCGTCGATCCCTGTTGATGCATTATTTAAGTGTACTTGTTCATTACTAGTTACTAGTTTTCTAGGCCATCTTTCATGGCATGTGACTGATAGTCTTTGTTACACTGTAGTACACGTCACTGATAATTTTATTGGTGATTTGACTGATGAATCAGCTTTGTGATTGCGTCCCACCCTGTAACGCAATGATGCTGTCACTGTACCGAACCCTTGCCTATACCATTCTTGGCGAGTAGATCGTGGTCTTGTTTGATACTCTGATTAGCATCTTTTGAACTTTTAAAANGGAACCCTGGGGAGGTCCCCAAAATTTCCCTTTTCTCATGAACAAAAAAAAAGCATTTTGTTACTTGCACCTTCGTCGATCCCTGTTGATGCATTATTTCAGTGTACTTGTTCAGTACTAGTTGCTAGTTTTCTAGGCCATCTTTCATGGCATGTGACTGATAGTCTTTGTTACACTGTAGTACACGTCACTGATAATTTTATTGGTGATTTGACTGATGAATCAGCTTTGTGTTTACGTCCTACCCTGTAACGCAATGATGCTGTCACTGTACCGAACCCTTGCTTATACCATTCTTGGCCAGTAGATCGTGGTCTTGTTTGATACTCTGATTAGCATCTTTTGAACTTTTAAAAGGATTCCCCTTTACTCTCTAACACCGATTGTTAATTTATGAAGAGAGATTGGATGTTCTCTAACTTGAGAAAACTGAAGTCGTCAATGAAAAATGAATCAGCCGCAGGAAATTTTTTTAAGTGTTTTGTTGCAATATTCCCGATATCCGGCACAATTTTTAAATTTACTTCCGTATGTTCTTTCGAGCTCTTGCTGTAGCTTTAGTAAAGCATTCTTCGGGTCAGGGTCGAAAACTTTTACAATTTTCATTTCATTCAGATTCTTTTTCCTAAACCGACCATGAGCAAAGTTCTTTTAGGCAATAAAAATGGTGAGAACAGGTTGTTTTTGCGCATATTGGAGATCGAGACAATCGAAGGATGGAAAACATACCCGTCTAAAAG